GGCTATATTTATTCTCATTAATGAAATGACAATCAGTCATAAGGTTATAAAAGTCTTAGCTCTAAAGATAGCTCAAGTCCTCCATTTTCCATTAAAAAAAAGGCTGCACTTCCAAAATTTTCACTCAACTTAGTACAAACTAGATGTATGAAGGGAACTCAAAACACCCAAGTGGATCCTTGAAATGCTGGGGTTTCAACCCCAAGCCCCAAATTAAGGTTGACATATGGGTGATTCCCACTGCCCTTCACAAAGTGGGGGTGAGTTTGCCTTTAAGCTTCCCTCCAGGGTGCGGCCGGCCATGCAGGGAGAGCCATTGGGTAAATGAGCCCCAGGTGTCTGCATTAAGTAAACAAGGGTCAGGTGTCCCACTTCGGGATAATAGGGATAAAAGCTGGGACCACTTGCAGGAAGTGGAGTGTCTGTCTGTGAGGTGGCTGCACTTTGCAGAGTTCCCTGTTGGGGAAGGACCTCCCTGGGACTGGGCTCCAGTCAGGTCTGGCTTTTGTAAATGCAGGCTGTGTAGAGATTCAGTATGTGGCTTCCTTGTTCTTATGTGTTTGGCTTGTTGACTTGGTTGTCTCCCATCCCTTCTATGAGAGACTGCATTTCACTATTTATTCCACCCATTGTTGGTCGTGTGGGGTCATTGTTGGGGTCAGTGGGATTGATGTCAGTTATGTATGATCTGACTGACTTGTTTGTACCCCCAGCGCTCACCCATGTACTGACCCTTTTGTATCAAATACACTTTGGTTATTGGTTCATCTTTATGCTGGCTGTGTCCTTTATGCTAGGCCTAATAATTGGCAAAACAATCCTTCAAACATTTGTCTACCTAGGTTTTCTGTACAGCTACTAAAAAGCAAGGACACTGTGGAGAACAGCTCTGACTGGCATACCCTCAAAACAAATTTCTCGTATCACCTCTATATTTTTGCTTTGTGAGTACTCTATCACATAATAACAAATTATTTTGTACCTGATACTTCAATTTAATAATTGTAGGCATTCAATTTGATCAATTTTTCCCATGCTTTTACAATTTTTTTAAGGACTTTGGGAAAATTATTTCTGCTTCCTCTTTCCCTACTCTGGTTAAACTAAAGAACTAACCACATTCCACTCTCTCAGAAATATGTTACCTAGAATTTAATATTTTTAATATTTTTAGGTGGCTTTCACATAAAAAAAAATATTTCAAAGAAAATACCACATTCATTGTGTGCATTTGTTCTAATGGATTAGAAGCCTAAAACAAACAGTAATTTAAATTATTTAAACAGAATAATTAAAAATAAATTTTAGCAGCTATTAAAACTTGCCACAATCTCACTATGTTCTCCAATAGCCAAAGATATACTTTAACTGTGCTTTCACATTTTACAGCACACATAAACCAGCTGAATGATACCTAGTAGAGCCCTTTATTTCTCAATATTAGTTCTAAAAACTATCCATCACATAAAATAACCCCACATCTCAAATAACAGAAGTAGGTGTTAGATTGTAGTTCCATGTCATTGTATGAGAGTCCAGCCTTAGGTGAGCCTTACACTAGTAAAGCACTAGGTTGATCATTCCTTCGAGTCACTGTCAACAAAAATGTTGATTCTTCTTCACAAGAATCGCCACATAACTAGAGGACCAATTAAGACCTATCTGGGTTTTTAGGTAAATCTTACATAATAGCATGGATCTCAAGTCTAAGATGGCTTAAATTCTAATTGAGGAAGGAGAAAGGAGAATGCTTGTATTATTGGATAAAAACACCTTTTACATTTCCATTTTTGAATGAGATGTCACAAGCTACACAAGAGAAGGAATGGTCACATGTTCTGTTTCATCTGCATACAAAGGCAAATCTCAAAATTACACAAGTCAAGGAAAAAATACTGCTAGAAAGATGGCGCTCTACCTGGCTTTCATAATTCATCTTTCACTAATGGCCTGATCTTCGTATTTGTTAATTCATCAGCTTTGTGCTCACAAATCACAGTGAGCTATGGTCTACATTCAGTCATTCAAGACCAAAGAAGGAAGAAAAATTACATGGAAATATTCACAACTAGCATCCTAGTTGAATACAACCAATTACCAGAAACATTTTTTTAAAGATTCAGGCTGTTGCAATATTAGCTATGAATAAAGTTGTTTCTACTTCCACTGAGCCTATGAAAAAACTTCAATACAGAAGAAAAATACATTGCGGCTGAAAGTACTTTCAACTCAATCGTCAACCAGTGGAAGAATAGTCTGTCTTAGACAGAAATAATGTGTTTTCATAAATTGCTCCTGGCACTAAATGAGTAGCTAAACTGAAGTTGTCATCAGAGAGCTTAAAAACTAGAGGATAGGAACACTGTATTTTATAGACAAGTGGCTAGAGTACACAATGTAGAAAGAGACATCTAAACCGATGTCCTGCACAAGCATGTCCTGAATCTCAGGTAAGGGATGGAAAAAAGAATTTAGTCTGTTCCATTGAAGTTAATCAACTTTAGCTTCTGAACAGCACTCATTAACACAGCACTGGTCACTACTCACTCAACAGAGAAAAAGCTTTTATTTAGCTCATTTTTTACACTAGTTCCTTTGAGACTTCATATAACCAGTCCATCCTCAATTTCATAGTTTCTTAAATAAAGGTCTTGCCTCAGTCTTATTTTGGAAAATCTGTAATAACTGGATGTGGTGGGTTAACTTTGTCTGGCCCCCAGGTGGCCACCAAGCCACTCTCTCACTTCCCCTCCTGAGTAAGATGGGGGAGAAAATGCAGTTAAAAGCTCACAGGTCACGATAAGGACAGGTAGATCAATCATCATGAGCAAAACATACTTGACTTTGGAAAGATAAATTAAATGTATTGCCAATTAAAAAGAGTTGGATAGTGAGAAACAAAAACAAAACTAAAACATCTTCCCCTACCTTTCCTTCTTTCCTGGCTCAACTTCTCTAGTAACTCTTCTACCTTCTTGCACTGCTGAGCAGCACAAGGAGAATGAGGGCTGCAGTAAGACCGTAACACTTCATCTCTTCCATTCCTTCCTGCTCACACTTCTCCTTTGCTCCAGCATAAGGTCTCTCCCACAGGATACAGTCCTTCACAAACTGCTCTAACACAGGTCCTTACCATGGGCTGCAGTTCTTCAAGAACTGCTTCAGCACGGATCATTTCCACAGGATACAGTCCTTCAGAAAAAGACTACTTCTGTGTGGGTCCCTCATGGGCTGTACTTGCCACGAAATCTGCTCCTGCATAGGCTGCTTGCCACAGGCCACAGCTCTAGCCAGGAACCTGCTCCTGAGAGGGCTCTTCATGGCTGCAGCTTCCTTCTGGGCACGTCCATGTGTTCCACCATGGGGTTGTCCTCCACAGGCTGCAGTGTGGACATCTGCTCCAGAGTGGTCCTCCATGAGCTGCAGGGGGACAAGCTGTTTCACCATGCTCTTCTCCACGGACTGCAAGGGAATCTCTCCTCTGGTGCTTGGAGCATGTTCTCTCCCTCCTTCTTACTGACCTTGGTGTCTGCAGGGCTTTTTCTCTCACATTTTTTCTCTCGTCTCTCTCACAGCTGCTGCACATGTTTTTTCACCATTTCTTAAATATGGTATCACAGAGGTGTCACCATCACTGCTGATGGGCTCAGCTTTAGGCAGCCATGGGTCCGTTTTGGAGCTGGCTGGAGCTCAGTGTCCAATAAAGGGCCAGATCCTGGCCTTTTGTCAGAGAGGCTACCCCCTGCTACCACAACCTTGACATGGAAACTCAATACACTAGTTTAAAAACTCTATTACAAACTACAGAATAACCTTAAGAAAGCTGAATATAGGATAAAAACCTTTCCTATAATTTTCTCAAGTCAGGCATTATAATCGTCAATCAGAAGACAGACAAGTGATTTCTAGCTGAAAGTTTCATAGCTGATTAGAGCTGAAATAAGACTGTTGTTGACAGTCCTACACAACTTCCCACCCCATTCCTACCCCCTGCCTCCTTAACAGAAATGGATCAATCTTCTGGAGATAAAGAAAAAAATGTGGTTATATTCCCATGTTCTTACAGAAAAACTTCCTGGAAACCTCTCGTGTATTTTTTCTGCACCTGCATTTTCTTTTTAAAGGTGTATGTACATTTATCTATTTATGCATCAGAAATTAAGCACGCAGCTATTTACTGTACCACAATGTACTGCATTAACTACAAGCACTTTTTATTTGCTAATTTCCCAGTACTTTGTTCTACAATTAGCCACAAGGTTAAGGTAAACATGAGCAGAATAACGTGCATCAAATAACATGCTGAACTCATCTAACTACATTGCAATACTAGAATCATGTCAGTGATCAATTAGGAACACAGAATCACAAAATTGTCTAGGTTGGACAAGACCTTGAAGATCATCCAGTCCAACCATCAATCCAACAGTTCCCAACTACACTATATTCCTCAGAACGAAGTCGATCCAACTCTTTAACACCTCCAGGGATGGGGACTCCACCACCTCCCTGGGCAGTACATTCCAACACCTAACAACCCCTTCTGGAAAGAAATGCTTCCTAATATCCAGTCTAAACCTTCCCTGGTGCAGCTTGAGGCCATTCCCTCTTGTCCTATCGCTTGTTACTTGGTTAAAGAGCCTCACCCCCAGCTCTCTGCACCCTCCTTTCAGGGAGTTGTAGAGGGTGATGAGGTCTCCCCTCAGCCTCCTCTTCTCCAGACTAAACACCCCCAGTTCCCTCAGCCGCTCCCGTACGACCTGTGCTCCAGACCCTGCACCAGCTCCGTTGCCCTTCTCTGGACACGCTCAAGTCATTCAGTGTCCTTTTTGTAGTGAGGGGCCCAAAACTGAACACAGGAATTGAGGGGCGGCCTCCCCAGTGCCATGTACAGGGGTAAGATCCCTTCCCTGTCCCTGCTGGCCACGCTATTGCTGACACAAGCCAGGATGCCTTTGGCCTTCTTGGCCACCTGGGCACACTGCTGGCTCATATTAAACCAGGAGAGAGCGTGAACACAGTCCCCCACTACCCCAAATTATGCAGTCAAATTTCCCTGAATTTGGGGAAATTACAGGGGGCAGCACACCTGGAGTGTCGGGCATGAGCTGCACCCTGAGAAAACCACCTGCTTAATCATGATGTCTCCCCTGTCAGGTAAGTTTAAGATGGACTTTTCTAGCTCATAAAAAACCCACAATCATTCTAGTTTCTTTTGAAATTCAGTATGCCTCCTCAAGTTAGAAGGTATAAAAAAAAAAAAAAAAAAAAAAAAAAAAGGAGAGAGTTTTTCTTACTATTATTTTTTTCTGTATAGATTAGGAGATCAAACCACAATCCTAACTGCACTCTTTGTTGGCTCGGTTGTCGAACATTTGCAGCTACTAATTCTTTCAGAAAAAACATTTAAAAAAAAATTAAGTAATAAAATAACCAATGTCAGACAAAAGGAAGCTCCAAACTCTAAATTATTATGTACACACTCACGACACATAGCTGTCACACAGCTGACCAACCTGCCAGATTTCACATAACTCATGTTGCTCTAAGGGAAATGCAACTGCCATTGAGCCTAGCAGTCTACAAGCAACTAGCATCAGCCTGAATATGAACCTTCATGAAAGCGGAATGAAAAAAAGAAGAAAGTACCTAGCTACAGGGTACATCTGAAGATATTCATTTTGGGGAATGAAATGTATGTACTACAACAAAAATATTCAGAAGACACTAAAATATTTTCATGTGTGATCTGAATCCTCTGAAGGGAACAGTGGAGTATTACATGAACTCTCTTCTCAGTTCCTGTGCAAAAGCTAGAATCGGGAGGACCAAAATATGCTCTGAGAACATTTACCCTCTCTCCTTGCTTGTTTAACAGAGACTGGAGGGGAAAAGGAGACTACACCCACAGTAATACTTCCCTACTACTCTTGCTAGTTTTACAAAAATAAGAGTAGTTCAAGTATTTGCAAACTATTATGGAACTCCTCCTCCACAAAACCTCATAAATTAAGAATTCTTAAAGGATCTGTTCTACCAGCCTTGTCTACCTCATAAACTTCTGCCAGAAAAACTACACCGGCTGGAAATGGCAGCTGGGAACCACACACCAATTCAGCTGTGCTGAAAACAAAATTTTGATGTAGAAAAGTTATGCCAACAGGAAAAACATTTGTGTTGGCTTTACTCATACTATAGACCCAAATGATGAACCTCTGCTGGCAGAAAAATTAATTCTTTTTTTCCAAGAGAGGGCTTTATTGGCCAAGCTGCAATGACTGTTAGGTCAAAGAGGTCTGAAGAGCTCCCAATAACCAAATTTTTCAAATTGTCTTGAAAGCTAGTTACAACAAAAAATATCCATAATCTGATACGTCTCAAAGATTTCTGAAATAAAGTCTCCAAATAATTTTTTTTTTCAAATATGTCAACTAGAAATTGCCCCACAGATCTCTTTAGTTGTGTGCACACATACAAAGTGAATAACTCATCAATCTCACAACCTCTATTTCAAGAGAGGTTTGGAGAAGCAATACTGAAGAGCCCGTTCCTAACAATTATACTCTAAACACAGTCACCAAAAAAAACTCAAGTTTGAGGTTCTTGTGCCTGAAAGCTTTCCTTCTAACTCTCCCATGCAAAAAGAAATCCGTAAGTAGTCTGTTCCTCTAGGGAATCACAGCATGTCATTCTCCTCCCACATGATATGGCAGAATTTTTCTGCCTATCAACAGAGGGTGGATGGATGCAGGGAAACTGACCTCAACCCACATGTGGACTTTTAGGAAAGAAACAATCTGACTGGATTGGGACAGTCAGAGTTAAACAACTGTCCTGGTTGGCCAGGCAGCAGAGGAAGGAAAATAAAACAGTAATTACTCTGAGCTGTGGAACAGTAGCTCAGGGTTTAATCTATTATTATGAGCTGTAAACTGAACCAGTGAACTATGGGCCAATAGTTACTGCCTGAGACAAACACATGAGGAATACATTTTTTTCAAAACACACAGAATTGCCTTCTTGACAGGACATGAAAAGACAGAGGTCTGAGGGAACATTACAGTCCTAAGGGAAACAGTAGTACAAGGAACAGCAGGTGGAAAGGGGGAAGAAGAAGAATATAAAAGGAGTCTGTTTCTTTAATTACAGTAAGCATTGACAAATCAAACTGTTTAAAAAGAAATTAATTACCCAATCTCATATATGTAATTGCAAAATTACAAATTTTGTAATTGTAATCGCAAATATATAATGTATCCCCTATTTCACATCATCAAACACAAAGACAGAAGTTGGAGAAGGGAAAAAAAAAAAAAGGAGAAGACCTGGACTCATGCAGCAGGCTTCAGTTTGCCAAAACAACACATCCAAATGCAAAATTCTGTAATAACTGTAAGTTCTATAAATATTATTTTGTCTCTTACTTAAAGCTCTAGAAAACTGAACAACAAAAGCTTTAAAGTGGCATATTAGGTTGTTCAACTCTCTGGACCACAAACATTATTGAACACTATCTGAAAACCAAAAAAATAGCTCTTGGTCAGAAGCAGCTGTAAAACTGTCTCCAGAATACACTGCCACTCCAAAATAAGGTTCTGTAACAACTTACAGACAGCCTTTCCACCCTATCTCCCAACAATTCAATGCATACACTTCCATCAACTTTCTGAACATAAAAAATCCTGAAAAACTGCTCACAAAACTACCTGAGCAATATCACTAATATATATATATGTATATATATATGTAAGCTACTTAAACTGCCTATGTAAATGTCATTCAGACCTTTGTGTGAACACAGCACAGCTCTTAATTACTTGATCACAGAGGTTTTTACTCATGGGACACCTGCCTTATCCCAGGCACAGACAATTCCATCCTTAAGGATGGAACACTGCAAAGAAATAAAAAGATTCCTCGAAGACTCACTTGCCTTCGTTGCAGAACTGGGCAGGCACACAGCATAGGCTTACAAAGGCCTGGACTGGTCATGTTCACTCTAGAAAGGTCCATATTTTCTTTATTTGGTTTTAGACAGAGAAAGAAAGGGGCCAAGAAGTGACTCAGAGCTAGAGCACTTCTGATGGAAGCACAAGAAGGCCTCATAATGCATCCTTAATTCCAGCCAAGCTCTTCTTTGACTTCTAGGTGTTCCTTTTGATCAGCACTAGAGGATTAATGAGGAGCTTTCTGCAACCATGGATAGAGCATAAGAAAGAAGATACAAAGAAAACAGTAGTAGAAGATTCATAGTGAATCTTTAGGCAGAAATTAAAGGATACAATTGCTAGCATATTTCTATGTTCTTTTATAAAATTTCTTTTTTATTTTTTTACTCCCATTTCACCATGTGAAAATTCCATAATTTGGAATCATACTCAAATCCACAACAGTCACCAAGAGAGTTTAAATTTTTTAACCATCAACACTGTCATGTTGTGAAAAACAGTTGAATGTCATGTTCTGTGGACTAGCCCTTAGAAGGAAACAAGACACTTGACTTGTGGCTTTCACAGATTTATGTTGATAGCTGAGGAATGGCAAGATTTAAGGATCTTAGATTTCGTTCCACACATAAAAGGGAATTACATTCTAGGACAGTTTCTCAATCTGTGATCTGTAAGACATCAGATAGTGGTCCAAAAAATCATAACAAATGTATTTTTAAAAACATACATTCCCACACCTGCAAGTAAGAAAACATAATTGAGGAAATACACAAAACCAAAGCAAACATTCTAAGTTTAGCCTAATAGAATTGCACTGTAATGCATAAAAAATGCCGTATTTCACAAGATGAGCCTTGCATTTTTTCAAGGAAATCAAGTGTTCTTCAATCAACACATTGTTGTTTAACAGACAAGTTTCTTCTGTTCTACTGAACTTCCTGACTCCCCTCCAGAAAATGCTGTTGCATTCAGTATGTTTCTCCCTTCATCCTACTTCCTTTAACTATTACCTGTTTTTTCCACATCCCACTATACTTCCTCTAGTTTCATTCTCTTTACAGACACCCCCTGAAGTTATCTACAGAAACAACCCATCCAGCTACTGAGCTCTTTCTGCCTATCTTCAACTGACAAACTCTGCCTCAAGTCTTCTGGTTCACCCTGAATTTCAGTTACCACTGTTGGAACATCCTTTATTTCACTGGTTCAACTACAGGAGTTTCCTTTCTTAGGACCATCCTTTTACCTGACACTTTTTTTTTTTTTAAATTATGTACACCTGGTTCACACCCTGTCTCTACTTCTCGGTTTAAGACACAGTCACAGTCTTTCACACTCTCCTTTTCAGGCCTAATCTCTCCTCCTGATGTTCACACATAAACATCCCCACATCTTGTCTACAATCAGCTGTATATACTCTATGCTGCTCTTTTTAAAGCCAAACAGGCAACAATGCCTATGGTAAATCTTAATACCAAAACAGCCCTGCAAAGTCAACCAACAAAGCATAGTACAAAGAAGTACCTGGAGCTCATAAATACAGTATTAACAGCAGACCTAAGATCCTCAAAATCAGTATTTCTGCTCTCATATTTCTTATATAACAGTACCATAAAATTCATGAATGTTAAATAATTATTTTTTTTAAAACAGTTGATGATAAATCTCAACTAAACCTTTTTATACGATGTATGTAGCACACAATTTGAAACCCCATTTGCATTTTTTGCTCTGATGCTGCATCTTCATCAGTTTAAAAACCACAGCTTTAAACCTTTTTTCCCTGAAGATTGAGTAGTGACTGATCTTTAAAACTTGTTTATTAATACATGCATATTTAACCTATTTGTATGTATTACTAAATGCTAAATGTATTACTCTTTTTTTTCAAGACAATTTTTTTCACGAGTCTAAGCGATGAACTGTGTGTGGATGAAAACAGACTATAAAAGCAACAAAAAATAATTTTAAACTCAACTAAAAGTACTTACACATGCTACATAAATGTAAAATGTTTTTTCCAATTTTTATATAAAACTGAATTATGTTATGTACGGCTAGCAAGCTTAATGACTGCACAAATTATCAGAAAAGGAAGATTTTAGAACTGATCTCCTCCTCTTTCCTGACAGTTCTATTTGTATATTAAAAAGAATAAACTTCTGTTTTCAATTTCAAACAGATTTAAATTAAATTTGAGCAAAGTAAGAACTGGATGGACCATCTGAAAATAAGACAATTATTCACTTGATAGCCACAAGATGTGGTTGTTTCAATTGATTTTGATGTGTTGACAAAATCTGTTTTCTAGTGTTTGACAGTTGAGAGATTTTATTTTCCTGAGCACTGCGTACTGCTTTTTACGTGGGGTCGGGTGTGCGCTTTTTGTTTTGGTTTGGTTTTTTAATTTGAGAATACATTAGGCCTGCAGTAACAGTCATGTTCATAATTAAGTATATTTCTTTAATTAAAATTTATTTTTAATGTGTTTAAAATATGGTTTTGATACAGCTTTCTAAACAGCCTCTTTATATGGCCTCTAGCATATTTGGTCTTCATTCTGAAGTCCATGCAAGACTTTCTAGGAGCTCAATTAAATAATTGTCCACCACAATGAATCATCTATTACATATTTTGAAATACTTTATGACACAGAAAGTACAAAACCAATATTCAGTTCTTGTTAGTAATTGAAGAAAATAATGAAAAAATGTTTTGTTCGCTACTGAGATGAATATATACAGAAGACATGTTTCCTTGGAATCCAGGCTTTTTTTGTGCAATATGAGATACAGATTTCCAGCTTCTCAGGAAAATTAAGTTTGCATACCAGCACAGAATATTCCTGGGACTTCACTCCGGAATATAACAGTTCGTACTTTCTTATCAGATTTCAAAGCATCCACAGCTTTTGACATCTACAGAGAAAAGGAGGAAGGGGAATAACCAAACACTTTTTAAAGTCCTTAATTCCAATACTTCACCTTTATACTAAAAACTATTATTTTCACTTACCATTTTTAAAAGATTTCTGTTAAGCGCATTCTTGGCATGAGATCTGTTTAATCCAAGCACCACAATTCCTGGAGGGGAATAAAAATTGTATCATTGTTACAATGTAGTAAAATACATATTATCTACATAAATTATTATTTTGCAATTATAGAAAAAGCATCACTGAGTACTGCAAAAAAAAAATGCTAGTGTAATCACTTAACTGCTGAGTTTTTGAAACAAAATAAATTGAGTTACATTTTCCAACATTAAACATTCCATGTTCAACAGAAATAAGGCTATATTTCTGTTCTTAAAAATAATATTAACACCTTCACATGTTGCATGTGTAATTACATAACTGCATGCACCAATTTGATGTTTGTGTGTGATGTGCTGACATGCAATCAGGAAAAATACTTAATTGTAAAACATGTTTCCATATTTAGAAAGACCGCCTTCAGAGACTTCTTAAATCCAGAAGTGCTACCATAGCTAAGACTAGCAACTCTGATACAGGTAAAAGGAAGTTACAAACACAGAAAGCAAGCTACCCACAGGAAACCTGAACTTTTGTTTAAAAAGAAAAAACCATAAAAATTATCCCCTAAGACACAAAAACTGTGCTCAATGTACACAGCTCCAATCATACATTCACAGCTTCCTTAGAACAGTTGGAGATGGGTTGTCTCACTGACTGATTGCATGTGCAATTGTTTGAACTTTGAAGAAGAAGAACAATTTGTTTCTCCTTATTTAACCCCCCTCAGCTTAACAGGCATGATTATCAAACGGGAAAATTCTGAAAAGTTTATCTTGGTAATGTCTAAGTTTACCAAGCCTATAAACGATTAGACAATTACTTCCTAAACACACTACCACTCCCTGAATTCTAAATATCAGCACACAGTCCCATTAAATTGATCCAGCCCCACTAAGGTCTTACCAGTAAGGGCTTTTTTTGACTTAGAGAATGCAGGGGTAAGAGGAGAAAGACAAAGGACTAGAACAGGGACCAGGAATGAAAGACAAAAAGGGAGTTCTTGATCTCAAAAATGCCCACTGTATTGCCATCAATCTTCATGACTGAAAAAAGCAATTCCAGAAACAGTATTTGCCTGGGTATTTACTACTTCACCACTCATCTTTGTACATATAATCTATATGTAATCTGTCTCTCGTAACATCCACAGGGTGCCTGTCTTGTCATCTCAGCACATACTACTTTTATTTCAGGGAAACCTGTCCCCTCAAAGGACTGACCCATCAGTGCTTGACCCCACTCCCCTTCCTCTTCTTTCTCCTGCGTGTACCTGCACATGCATGCACACATGATGAGATTTATGACAGCTCCTACTCCTTCTGCAGCTACCAATTTGAAACAAAAGTGCTCCATTGACCAACTACCACTCTCAAGATTCAAATTAAAAAGTTTAAACTCAAGTAATAAGAGTACATGTGCCGCTTGCTTGCTCCCAGGGTACAATCAATTGCTATGTATACATACCTCCTAAAAGGGGAGAGGAGCCTGGCTAACCCAAATAATCCTCACTTCCCTGGTCTGTAAACCTGAATTCCCACCTGTTCATCCCCATGGTTGGAGGTATTCATCTAGGACCTCCTGCAAGGGTCCTTATTTAGCACTTACACAGGAATCTGTTTATGTTTTGCTAAGCAAAACAGAGTAGTGCTATAGCAATTTTATTCTACTGTCACAGTTTATCTTCAGGAGGATTACTCCAAGTTCAAATATTCCACATACTAAAGCAACAAAGAGACACTTGACCTGGCTTTTATTTTAAACTCTCAGGCACACTGCAAATCTGATATTTGAATAAACTAGAGAAGTTATCATCCCAAACTGTTCTTCAGTTAGGAAAATAAAGTCCTTTTCGGAAGGATGCTATTTTCCAATGACAATGACACTTTTTAATTAGACTTGTATTTTATTTCTCCCCATCAAATCCCAAGTGTTGCTCCATCACCAATATTAGTGTATTCAGAAGGAATTTCCAATTAACATTGAAGCACATTTAGTATTTTTTCCTATGAAGGGATGATCCTTGAAGACAAATCATACAAGTTGACTCTTCTTAGTAGTGTCATATCAAGTCACAAATCTACCACTTCTGCCTCACTCTCCAGAAAAATAAAGAGATTAATAGAGATGACACCCACACAGCTGTTCTATTTCTTAAATAGGAAAAAAAAAAAAAGATAAAAAAGATGAAGCACAAACTGCAACAGGAAAAGCATAAAAGTTTACAAGAGAAAACTGTATATTGCAGTGACGTATACAAAAAGGCATTCTTTGAATTCCGGTTTGAGTCAGTTTTGTTCTAATGTGTCATTACTATAGTACCTGGGCATCCTTAAAACAAATTCTTAGGTTTTTTAATACTGCGTTAAGATTTGGGAAATTTTCCAAATGTATCATTGATCAGTGACCAAACTAGAGACAGATTAAGTACCTGCTCGAAGTCACAAAACAGAAATTAAAGAATAGACTTCTTGAGGTCCAGCTGAGAATTTAATCCTTCTCCCAGCCCAACCCAAGAATCTCCTGGCAAAAAACATTTAAGGCAAGTCTTCTCTATCTGGCGCATTCAATAAGATTTAAATCCCTGGTCCCATGGGTATATTCATTTTAGATGAGATAAATTTCCCTGAGGGCAAGAAAGAATAATCAGTCTCCATATAACACTGCAGAGCCCCACCAAAGAAAGACAAAGTTAAGAAAAAGGCAAAATTTTGAGACAATACTCCCATACAGGTAATCATTCTGATAAATATTGTTAGTCATACAGAAAACCTGATTATGTTTAATTTAACCATGGTTCATTCTTCCTAAAGCACCCACATATAGGTGTGTATTCCAAAATCTTTTTTCTTAATTAGCTGAAAAATCTGTTAAAGAAAAAAAATATTAAAAAGTCATAATCACATTCATTAACAAATATCAGTAGAAATAATAATAATAAATAATAATAATAATTCCAGTATCTGTATTGTGTCAAAGAAATAGGCAATATACTGAAAAGCAATAAGCATTAATTTTACAGTTTTTCCTGGGAGTCATCTCCACGTTATTTTAGAACACTCTTCAGCAAATAACGTGCACCTATTAAAAATTATATTCACATATTAAAAACTAACTTTCACCCTATTAGCTAAGCTCTCCAAGGGATAAAGGTCACTCCCAATGCTGTCTAATATAAGCATATCCCTGCTTGCCTAGTCAATCATCCAAGGAAAAGCGTATGCAAACGTACAATATGTTCTCTGCTTATAATTTACCTTTGTCAAAGCAGAAAGTTGCCTGTGATATAATTCTTGACGTTTAAGGGACTATATGAAAGTCATATACAATAAAACCAAAAAATGTCTTACATTAAGAGAAATATATATACATATATGAAACATAGCTTCAAAATACCTGCAAATTCCCAGAAACTTCATTTCAGTGTATGTACACTAAATTTGAGACTTGCATATAAGTAGTTCATATTGAAAGGTTCTTGTATTTTAAGAGTGATAGCAAAAATATATGATGCTATCATTATTTAAAACTGCTGAGAGAGAAGATCATATTTCTTTCTATAATGTGCAAAACAGGGTGGACCAATTTAAGCAAAGTGATTAGATCATGGTTTAACTGCAATTTATATCAACACACAGGAAATCTCACGTTAAATAACGATTTTTATCTGTTTTATCTTGTACTTTTTAGCTTTCAAAAAATATTCATCCTCAATGGCAGAAGCACATGTAAACAGTTACTTGCAAGTAAGTCCTGTTTTAACACTCATATTAGTAATTTTGTCCAAGTTAGAAATTTTAACTACATCTGTATAAAAAGTACTTAAGGAAATACATTTATGTGTATTAAGTATACACACACGAATTATCTATCCAGATGTACCACTTCATAACTAAGTAAAAAAGTATCTGAATTACGCACTGAGAAACAGAGGGAGGACCAGGACGCTATTTTTAAGCTTGTCTCAACTACTCAGATAAACTAAGGCAGACAAGTTGCCTTAGATGTCTTATTATTCTAGAGTAGTTTCTTAAGCAAAACAAGAATCTATGGTGAGTGTATCATGCACAATTCCAGTGGTTTTCACTGATCGCCTTATCAAGAAGTATTTAAGTGCAAAATCACACAGATGAGTCCCAAGCAGGACTTTTAAAAAACACCAAAACACTTCAGCACCTTTTTTACCTTAAAGTAGAGATCTAGTAGATCTCAACTGTTCAGCCTGCTTTATTTAAAAAGAGCAAAAGAAGGGAAAGCTTTTCCAACTTATCAGCTAGCTGTTTCTGACCTAACAACTTCAACTGAGACCGTATTTGGCTACTCATTCCATATGTTAAATTTCTAACCAATGAGGACAAAAAGCTGTCTTACATACTGTAACTGAATTAAAAACAGGTGGAAAATATAAACACAAAGAGTCATTCTAGTGAAAAATCTAAATTTTACAAATATTTAGATCTCATTCCACTGACACTACAACACTTGAGTCAAGACTACAGAGGTATTTCTCCTAATTGCATCTATAACCTAAAGAGCAAAAACTCTTAAGGTCATTAAAACCTCTTATGGGATCACTAATGCAATATGGCTGAAAGTTTAACAAATTCCCAAAAACTGTGGTACACAAATTATGTGAAAGTGTTATGAAGCAGGACAGTTTGGTACTTTGCCTGCAGGGAAAGATCTGTCTAGAGCTACAAGGTATGTGCCTCCACTGATGCAGTTACTGTCAGTCTTCATGCCTCCCCTGCGTCCTCAGATGTAAAAGCCCCTGGACAACAGATCCTTCTCCAAGTAGCATGGAAAGACTAGGTGTGGACAAGAACATAACCACAGCACAAATGAGTATGTCACTGCCATAAAAGGTAGCCAGAAGGACAGGGTCATTCCCTGTGGAGTCATGAAGTATGTAATAGAAGAATATGATGAGGCAGGAGTACCAGAGTGCCACTTGGTAAAATCTAGAACATAAACTGGTGGAAAAAAGAATGGTAGGCTAGAGAAGAGCCAGAAAGACCAAAGGGACTTATATGGAGTTAGAATCTTAATGCAGCAGTGGTATTACATGTTGTAAGCAGATAAAGATTAATTTGACATACAAGGCAAGGAGGAAGGTGTGCAGTAGGAGTACAGGGAGGAAACTGAGACACCGTGATTCTGTTTCTTTCACAGAAACGTGGTCTGCTCTTTGTGCTGCTGAAGGAGGCATATAAAGCTTGTGTCTCCTTCTGGCTTACTTCTAGATCCTTGTTCTCATCCTTTATTAACAAACAGTATTTGTTTCTATGTCCTTCTGAAGGGTAAAGCCAAAGAAAATCCCTTCATTTGAAAAGGATTCATTAATTAAAAATACACTGACTGAATCCTTCCTTATGATAGCCACAGTTGATTAACATTCTAAATGCCATCTCCATGTTTGGGGGCATTTTTAATGCCACATTTAACAAAGATGTATATTCTGAGAAGAAAAGAAAAATCAACTTCAAAAATATTTTTTTTAACAGGAAAAAAAAAAAACAGATGGGCTACTGACATGCAAAACTTTAGCTATCTCTGCACCTTTTCTTCAAAAGCCTATTTCAGTTCTCTGCATAATCAAATTTACAGTATGTGCATCAAAAGCACTCAGCAATGAACAATAGCTACACAGCAAGAAACACCTTTGTAACATTACAAAAGCAATGATTCCTAGCTGATTCAACAGCTGAAACACAGTACCTAATTATATAGCTTATTGTATAATAGCAGAAATAAAAATTATGATCTCGGGTAGTATTCAAGTATTTTCTACCACTTACTGGAAAAGCACAGAACAAAACCACTCTTCCAACATTTTAGAAACCCTTCTTTGCTCCTGACTTACCTCCTCCTCAATTTAAAATACCTTAAAAAATAAAAATGGGTGTTTAAAACACAGTTGGTTGAGAAAACAGCACTAAAGAAGTACATCTTAAAGGAACTGGAAAGAGTTGGGAACAAAACAATCACTAAGACGAAAGTGGATTTCAGGATTGGACTACATCATCAACTTTACTGTCCCTTAACAGTGACAGAAAAAGCTGCCCTCAGGTGAAAGCAGAACCTCAGTTTTCCTTTGAAAAAGAATCGTCTTCTAAACCTTAGGCCAAAATTTGAAGTTTTAAAGTTACTTCTCCATATATGTATACAAATCTACATGTAGGCATACTCAGCTCACAGGCATTTGCCTGAATTTTGAGTATCTGAAGTAACCGAGGTAACATGCTGAAAGACATAAAATGAATTTGTTTCTGGACAAGTTGAACTGAACCATCCCAACATATGGTTATTCCAAGATACACTATCTACATAGAGATTCATGTGCTGCAGATGAACAGAGATACACACTATAGCCCTCTTCATAAAAATAAGTACATCATGGATCTAAAAAAAAGTCCTCAAGAACGAAGCTTGCACATACTGTTTCTCAACCATTCCTAAGCCCTGCAGCACCCAAATGGGAAGGAAGTGACAAACTCCAAAGGAGGTGAAACACCTCCAAAGGAAAAACACTTCCAAAATCTGGTGAGCACCAAACCACAAGAGGAAGGAAGTACAAAGTTTCCATGTTGAGATGCACTGGCACCAGATCACTCTGAAGCACAGATTTTCCTTCTCTGTTTAACCGAGTGAGTTAAAAAAAAAAGACTCTGGGTATAGCTGAGCAGAAGAGGTCAGCAGCAGTTAACGGCACTAGAAGCAAGGAGTAGGGTGAGATGGTTAGCGGGAAACCATGTTATGAACAAGAGTGCTGAAGCAACGCTTCCCAGAACAGAAAACATTGATACAACTTCTGGATCCTTGTCTGCCCCTGCAAAGCCGCACGTAGCAGGTGTGGGAAGCAGCACGATCACAGCAGTTTCCGGCCAAACTTCATCTTCTCCCATTAAAGCGGCCTCCGGATGCCCACTCAGAAAGGTGCAGCTCGCACATACTGTACATACAGTCTGAAAAGAAGAGCCAAGAGAGCCCAACCTAACCCAGCTCAGCAACTGCCCGGTTCCCAGCGTCGTGCGACGGGGCCACAGGCCGAGGTGCAGAGGAGCCGAGGAGGAGGAGTCGCCGCTCTCTTCCCGCCCCTCGCCGCCGGGTAGCTCCCCCCGGGACCTCCCCCGCCCTGCCCCGCCT